CCTGCAGCTGTCGCCGTCTTGAGCGCTTTTTTCGACGTCTGCTGTACATGGATCGAGGGTTTTGGTTCAGACATCTAAGCAGGCAGCCTTTCAGCCTGAGCTCAAGAATCTGTCTAGGCAGTGGTAAACCCTATGGAAGAGTTTTTGGAGGCTTTTTGTGCCTTGGCTTTGACCTTTCTGGAGAAGACAACATCACGAAACCACCCAACACCATCACAACAGCCCATCAGATCATGAGCCATGCACGCCTGCAAGCTGTGAAGAGAAGTCTTTTTGCAAAATTCCTCAGGTCGACCTGCAAGTGATAGTGATTTGGACCTACAAGTGGAATACCAGGACCTTGAGGACCGGACCTTCAGTTTCCGGGACCGAACTTGAGATCTTTTTTTTTTCTCGCTCCAATGGTCACGAAAAGGAGACTCCATTTGGAGGTCACGGATCCGGCTCAGGTCCTGGTACAAAGTCTACATCTGCATAAAAGTGGACCTTCACTTTAGGAGGTTCCCGATGGGGGTTCTCATCCCTGTGACTGCGGAGGCTTCGCACAGCAACTGAATCTACATTGGGTGTTTCTAGGTGCTTCGGACTAAACCAACAATCCTGGAAACCTTTGGGACTTCCTTGCAATTTCTGATCTTTTGTGAAATTCCTTGGATCCTACCAACCTCCTCCCATCTCCAATGTTTCCTTTCGGTGTTTTTGGTTGGGGGAAGTGAACATGGAGTCAATGGAGTCCCTAAACGCTTAAATCGGACCAACTTTGGCGGTATCGCCATGGGCGGGAGAGATTGATGAGCTCAAACATAGAATCACACATCGTCACTTGCAACCTCATCTGGGTGGTGTCTGTAAAATCCTGAAATTTATCTAGGAATTAGTTTCACAGGGATCATACTGGGTTCATTGCCAGACTTTGCCAGATCGGTTCCTAGAAACGACGTGGCGCCGGGGAAACGTGGGGAACAACAACGTGAGACGTGAGACGCCTGGAATTTTGCACCTGAAAAGTCTTGCGCCCTCCAAGGGCAAATCGCGGAAAAAAAATTGTGTTCTTTCCGACGAAACCGGCAAGGAGGAGAAAACTGATGCTTGGCGCACATAGCGCAGAATATGGAACATGTTGTTTTTGGCAGTGCTTCTCTGCGCTTGTTCACAGGATTTCACCGGCATGTTCCAAATTCCGCCTGCTGGTCTGAAAGCCGAACGTTGGCCGTCTTGGCTGCGCCGCAGTGCAACAGTCCCCTTGGACTTGCCAGTCCACCGGTTTGGAGCCATAGCCGTCCAGTCCTGCACACCTGCGACCGCAGAACTACAATGGTGTACACGTTTGTCCCCGAATGAGGGTTCCAAGCACTCGCCAAGCCGTACTAGTTCACGAGGGTTTGTGGAACTACCACTTTTTCCTGGAGATTTGACACAACATAAGTAGGAGTGGTAACCGGTAGTGGTAGTGGCACTGGCAGGAGTAGGAGTTGGAGTAGGTGTAATAATAGTATAGTCATCGTCGTCGTCGTCGTCGTGATAGTAGTAGTAGTAGTAATAGCAGTAGCAGTAGCAGTGGTCGTAGCAGAGGTAAAAGTCAGAGGTGCCTAACAACACACAACCAAAAAAACACAACCACAAACACACAACACACAACCAACAACACAACCACAAACACACAACACACAATACACAACCAACAACACACAACCACATACACACAACCACACAACCACAAACACACAACATGGACAAGTTTTGGTAGTGGTGGTGGTGGTGGTGGTGGTGGTGGTCGTAGTAGTAGTAGTAGTAGTAGAAGTAGTGGTCGTCGTCGGCGGTTGTAGTCTAATAGTGGGTGTTTCGTCTGAGCGCGCAGCAACCAGGACCTATATAGTGGGCGTATAGATAGTGGGCATATAGATAGGGGGCGTGCTGATTGACTTTGCCCGCTGTGTGGGCGCCCAGTGTGAGCCCGCACGAGCGCGCAGCAACAGCGCCAGCAAGCAGGAGCTATATAGTGGCAAACCCAAACCCAAGGGCACACAATCAAAATGGAAATCCACAAAAACCACGACCATGGCAACATGCTCCTCACCATGGCATGAAAACAAATTGAAATGTCATGGTGGGGATCACTCGAAGCAAAATACGTTGTTTGATGTTCTTTTTGCTTATTTTCTGGCCAGGAATACATGTGAGATTCTGGGTCGGTCTCAGCCGCTCAGCATTGGTTGAGGTTCTCAACCGCTCAGCGGATGCTGCGCAATACTAGCCAGAGGCGCTCTGACGCCAAAGAGCTGCATGCCTTGCCAACTGAACCGCAATGAAGTGGATTATGCTACATGTCTTGCCTCTGTCTCATTGAATCGTTCACCAGTAAAAAGGAGGATGCTACTGCAGGCAAACAAACACGACAACAAGTGCTTTCCTATGCGTCCCTTTTGCTGTCAGGGGTTCTTGCTGTTCATTGTGCGGAGTTAGTTTTTGGCACGCTTTCTTTTCCATCTGCTGCCTCCACGACAAGAGCTTGGATCAGCCATGGTGTTTCACCTTAGGTGCCCTGCAGCAGGTGTATCAGATTCGAGGCTCTCAACTTCAGACCCAACATCAGGCTGCCGGGGTGTTCCACTTCCAACCAGCTGAGCCGAACAGTTGAAAAACTTATCAAATCTAACAAAAAATAAACTTTGTAGATCTGCTGGCATCTGTGACACTCAGCTCAGTGCTCGTCACATATCACTGCAGCATGACAAGAGTGGAGTAGTCAGTGGAGCCTCTGTTCTTTCAGGTTCAGTCCACAACTTGCTGAGTCTCATCCACCTCAAGACACCTGAGCAGCTCACCTGTTTCAGCCGGCTTCAATCATCAAATCCATTCTCCAGGGTTCTCGGCATGGCCAGGTGGCCACTGGTGGCCACTCACCCACGCTTTGTAGGGGCTTCCATTTGGCTCAGCGGGCTTGACCCTACAGTAAATGCAAACTCTCTGTGTCTCAGAGGTGAGTGGCTTGAGTATTTCATGTCGCCGTGCTTCGCTTCACAAATCTCAATGCATCCGTATATAACGTAAGAAATGTAGACCCATTTTCCAGCTGTGCATGATGAAGCAGCGGTGCGAGAAATGCGAGAGTTCTGTCGATGTTCAACCCGACCACGCAGTGAACATGTTGAGACCGATGTGATCCCACGTGCGAAGTGGCGAAAGGCCTCATAGGACACCTGCACGATGTGCCGAAACCGTGGGTCGACGATCGCCATGAAAAGCTGGGAGAGGTCAGATTCCGTTCTCCCCTCATCTTGGCCTTTTCTGGTGAACTGCTTGACGCTGCAAGAAGCTTCAGGCCAAAAGAAGTGTACACAAAGGCCCGGGAAAGAACACATGGTTGACGATGCTTGAGTAATTGGGCAAGATTGACGAAGGACTTCCATGACTAGTGTCTTCATTGAATCAAATGTGTCCACAACACACAACCACCAACAAACCAGTAAACTAACCAGACAAATGCCAAAACACAAACCAAATCAAACCAAACCACACCAAACAACGAACAAACGAACACACAAAAACAAACGAACACAAAGTAACACAAAAACAAACAAAGAAACAAACAAACAAACAAAAAACAACCAACCAACCAACCAACCAACCAACCAACCAACCAACCAACCAACCAACCAACAAACAAACAAACAAACAAACAAAACAAACAAACAAGAAAGCAAGCAAGCAAGCAAGCAAGCATGCAAAAAAAGAACAACCAATATATAGCAGTCATCCTTTAGCAACGAATCCGCCGCAAACTGGTCAAAGGGTCCTATTTCATCATGTAATTATATAACTATATATAAACATTATATATCCAGCTTAAACCGTACATGTTGTAGCAGCTTGGAACATCTGTACATGTAGCAGCACCAACTGTGCGAGAATCCCTCACCAACAGACCGGTCAAAGATCTCCGACGTCCTCCGACTGAGATCCACCAAAAACAGCTGAACTATGCTGAACTGCATGTTCTGTGTCAGGTGCTTCCAGGACCACAAGCTGAGGGCTGAAGAAAGGAATCACACCACAGCATTGCAGCATCCACTGGTCTAAAAAGTTCATGCTGCCTTCATAAAAAGTTCATGCTCAAAATAAATACAAGTGTGTTATCAAGCCACAATTCATGCAAGTGGGTATTGGATATACGGTAATTGTGTGTATATATATTTATTATAATATATGTAATATATTGTGCAATATATACACATCATATGCTTGTTAGCTGCTTTTAAATTTCTGTCGGGTCCCTGCTCCAGGGTTCCACAAAATTCGCTCCAGAAAGGGCCACAGACTCTGTTGGGACGAAAGAACCCGGGGCAAAGCCACGAAGCTTTTCTGTCCTCGTTTGCGACCCCCCAAAACGACCCCAACACTGCGGCCCACAGGGCCCACACACACAGAGTGGGCCCAGAAAGCCTGAGTTCGTCAAAGATGTGAGGAACTGGTTGTATTTTTTTGTGGAATTCCATTGGAATTCCGAATTACACCCAAATAATAGATCGATTCGATTCCCGATCGAGTAATCACATTCATGAAAACATGTCTTCACTGAACATGGTGCCACCGACAGAGAGAAACAGGTCAATGGTTACCTCCCAGTGGGCCCAGCACGTACCATCATCACACTACCCTACAACTTGTTAAACGTGTGTGAAGCCTTCATGGAAGCCACCGACCATAGGTGATAATTACAGGTGACATCTGTAGAGTGTGGAGCATACCCATTCTGTATGTGGCCCTCTCTGGCATTTACGCACTTGCGCCACTTGCGCCATGGCGGCGCTCTGAGTCCCACCCATGTTTCAAACCAGGCTCAGGGCCGCGGGAACACTGTACTGACAGTACCGTCGTCTCGCAATCGGATCATTCACTCAAGTTGGCCTGGGGCAGAAGCGATGGCACTCTGCCCAGCAAGCCCTCTCAGCGTGACCCAGTCGGAGGCACTCCTCTGAGCTCTTTCGATTCCTCTGAGATCAGAGGGAAATCTTCCAACTCACTCCAGGTCCTGTCTCCGAAAGCTGGTCCCAATGATTGCGAATGAACTCAGCGGCCTGAGCAGTGGAAAAAACAAGGAACAAACACCACCCGGAAGACCATAAGGGTGAACGGGTCGTCTTGGCTGGAGAAAAGTAAATCTCTTCTCGCTGGGTGAACATCATCTTGATGTTAGCCAGGCGGCATATGGGTTCCTGAGTGCTTCTGCTTGAAGTCCATCCTGAACACACGCGTCACGCGCGCGTGTGGGCCACAGGTTTTTGCGACCGGGGCAACCTGTGGGTGCCACCATCGTTTTCTCATGTCTTCTCTCCAGTCGTTTCAGTGAGTGACATGCGTTGGTGGACAACACAAGGATTCAGATTTTTGTCCTTCGTGGCAAAAGAGAAAAACATGACATGCAACAGAACATAAAAGACCGCCCCTTAAGCTTCACAATCAACTCAGGGAAACAGTCCTGTGTAGACTGATTCTTGAGATTGAAGGTGTTCCGAGTTTGCAGTTGACCAACTTGTGTCGTTCAAAAAGGACATGTTGTAGGTATGGGACTGTCGCGAACGGTTCTCGGATTTGATTTGGTTAGACAATCGTGTTTCTTGATGAGGCCCCGGAAGTCCCCCTCAATTCAGGCAATTGACACATTGAGAGCCTGAACTCACAACCGCCTTCCGTTGAGAAACTCTTTTGGGTGACTCCACTGAAGATCATGTGAAAAAACAAGGTGAGCCCGCGGACCCAAAAGCAAAAAGAAGCGCGCAACCCAGGAAAAATAGACAAACACACATTAACAGGCCAAACAAAGCATCAGCCCCCTCAGGCTTTGTGGCAACCATGATATTTCAAGCATCGCGGTTCTGGTGAGCATCCGTCCACCCCAGTCTGGCATATACACCCCCGTCCACCCGTTGGTCAGTTTTGAAAGCCTAACAACCCTTCCAGGAAGCATGGAGCAGCATCAGCTCCCTCCATGCTTCGTTCCAACCATGAAATTTGAAGCATTGCGGTTCTGGCATGCAACCATCCTGCCGTTTCTGCTGTCTTCGGCATACATTGCACGCATTCTGGACACCCAAGACCGCCATATAGGCCGCGCCAGAAAAAGTTCCACTCGCGCAATAACGTTCTTCCGCGAGGCATGGAGTAGCATTAGCCCCCCCATGCTTCGTTCTACTTAGCATCCATCTTCCTTCCACAGCCCCGTCCACGCCCGTCCACCCTCCCATCTCCATCCATAGCCGCCACACCCATCTTCCGTCCACGAAAACGCTTGCCTCGTCTCGCTTTGCCCCCCACTAACGACTAAACCAAACGAGAACCCAAGCATCGGAGATTCTTTTGGGAAAAGCACACACACATGTGTACTGCTGTGCCAGCGCTACAGTGCATCACACGCGGTAAAACGCTTTCGGGTCATTCGTCGTCTAGTGACTAGTGTTTATTTTTTGGCATAGATTTCCGGCGGCGTGCATCGTTGGCATGATCAGGGCGTCGATATGGCGGAGATATCCCAGGAGGAAAGGATTTGTCGCTTGTTTTTCTCAAACAAGCCTTTGCGGGCTTCGATCTTAAGAATTTACACTGGCATAGACCCTAGACAGAAATATCGTTGCAGTAAGAAGAAAACAAGACGGTTCCCCTTTTAGTCGGGTTGGAGTTGGATGTATTATACATATATATATATACATCAAGTGGCTGCAAGCAATCTCTGCAGCTAGTCTCCAACCCCAACATGGCTGCTGACAACCGTTCCAGGAAGCATGGAGCAGCATCAGCCCCCTCCGTGCTTCGCTCCAACCATCAAATTTCAAGCGTTGCGGTTCTGGCATGCAACAATCCTGCCGTTTCGGCCATGACTTGACTGTCTGGCGCGTGCATTGTGCACTTTCTTTTTTTGGACACCCAAGACCATCATATAAGCCCTGCAACACAGCTCCCCCCCCCGTCTCGCTCCCCTCCATCTTCCCTCAGCCCCGTCCCCACCCATCCCGTCTCGCTCCCTCCATCTTCCCTCCCCAACCCCCGTCCCCACTCATGCACCTCCCGTCTTGCTCCCCTCCATCTTCCCTCCCCACCCCCGTCCCCACCCATGCGCCTCCCGTCTCGCTCCCCTCCATCTTCCCTCCCCAGCCCCGTCCCCACCCATGCGCCTCCCGCCTCGCTCCCCTCCACCTTCCCTCCCAGCCCCTTCCCCACCCATGCGCCTCCCTCCCCTCCCTTCCTTCCCCTCTCTCTTCCCTTCCCAACCCTGTCCACCTCCACATCCATCTTCCGTCCCTGACAACGCATGCTTTGTCTCGCTCTTCCGCGGCACTAGCGACTAAACGAGAACCCAAGCATCGGAGATGCTTTGGGGAACAAGAGGCCCGTAGGTCTTCAATGAAAAACAAAAGAAAAAGACCTGCTCAAGGGCTTCAAGAGCTACTTGTCCAAAGATCTTCCGATGGCCCTGTGTTCCTTCCAAGAACATTGCCATGAAGAAAGAGGACCCCGGGTCAAAAGAGATACTCGCAGCATAGTGATCAAATGGACCAAACGCGGCCACCGCCCGCCTTTTTCCTGTTGGATTGGAACACTCAGGATAGTATTAAATGCTCATATTCAGCCCGCCTTGTATTCAGCCCCGCCACATCGGTCCCGGTACTGCCACTGTGTTGAAAAGCTGTCCAGGGCAAACTTCCCCTTTCCCAGCACGATCCTGGGACTCAGTGTTTGCCCTGCTACTCAGTACTTTTGTTTATATACCCAGCCAGACCGTCCCATGGGACTGGCATAATTACATATATATCATACATTTAACCCCATGTCTGACCCCGGAAAACATCGGATAACTATGATCGATATGACCCATGGATTCTTTGGAGTCCCATCGAACTCGAGGCGTCGAAGTACCGGTCCAGGATCTTGTTCCGACTCTGAATCCAAGTCCAACTACATGAGAGGGTAGCATGACCCTCCAAACACCTGCACCATCCCCAAGCAGGTGAGCTATTGGATGCCTGCCCCCAGAAGAGCACACCAAAAAATTAGCACCCATGAAACCGCACCCAAAGTGTCTGGATCGTCCTTTGCAAACGCCCAAGGCGCTTGCGCAAGATCCAGGTCGTCGACGTTGAACAGGAGCAGAATCCTCTTGGAGATCCTCGACACGATTTTGCTCGTCGGTGGGTTGTTGTGTGAACATCGGTCAGCGAACGGCAAACCGCTGGATGTGTTCTTCAAAAGTCCTGGAGCCGCCTGGAGCGAATGATTTAAGGATTGGAAACGAGCAACTGCCAAGACGATCCGTGGACCCTCCATAGCAGGAGTCTGGACTCTCAAGACCCTTTCCATTCATTTTAGTTCGGGTCTGGGACCCTTAGGGATCTGTTCTGTTATTCATCATTTGACTTTGACCTTAGTATCCTTAGTCAAGTTCAAGCTGGCTCGTTCCCCATCAAATGGCTCGCTGTGGTGGAGAAGAAAGCCATTTTCCAAGTGTGGAATGGACGGAATTCTTCGCGTGGTGAGGAACTCCCTCTCTTGCCCCGTGGCTCGAACATCGGACCCTATGGAACCAGAGGAAGCCACCGGGCCTGAGCTCGTTTTCTTCGCAGGGGACGATTTGCTAATATTCATGACGATGGCTCTCGAGATCATCAAAGCGCTTATATAGCTCTCTTTGAGGCTACTAGGGGCTCCTGGCATCGCTACTAGGAGCAGGAACAAGAAGCTACTAGGAACAAGGACGCTCTCCAATCCAACTCTCCCTGCCTCTCTCTTGGCCCACGACGGAGCTTGGAACGCCGGATGATCAAAGGGTGCAGCTGATGACAATAGGTGCAGCGAGCACCCTTCCTTGGTCGGAACCCTAGTGGTGGAAGAGACCTGGGAAGAACTATAGAAAAGCGCTGCAAATGTTGGAAAAGTCTTCCTGCCTCACTTGAACCCACCTAAACGCTACAGTATATGTCGTGGCACACAACTGGGGCTCTCGGACTCTTTTGAACGCTTTTGGTGATGCACTTTGGTGGCTCTTGCATAGCATGTTGTGAATCCGACTCTGTTATGCAGTCAAGGCCAGCCGGGGAACATCAAACCCATGTTGGATTAAAAGGACCGGCTTTCGGGCACGGCGTGAGGACCGTGAAGGTGTTTGCATGACCTGAGCACCGTGTGAGAAGGATGGCAAGCATGTGGAGAACAACGAGAAGGAAAAGGAGAGGGAAGAAGAAAGGTGGAAGTAAAAAACATGCTCTAGTTTATTGGAAAGGGCGACAAAAGCCTATGAGAAGTTGCTTTCCCCCCCGGGGGGAGACCAAATTAATGGGGAGAGTCGTGAATAGAGGGTCTATGGCCTCCCCCTTTGGGAGATTAACAATTGTTGGCTAGGTTTATAGATGTTCTTTTGACAAACTTTCTGGGAGTGGCCTTGGAATTCTGTGAGTTTGGAGGGCTTGCGTGCAGGTCTTCAGAACAGTGCGATGAAAATCGGGTCCAGGTGCTGGAGAACTGAGTGAGGAGGCTGAAGACATGGATGAGTCGGATGAGCTGCTTGAGAAGCATCAAGACTACACAACATGGGTGATGAGCATCAAGACTACACCTGGGCAGTTGCTGCGCCATGCTGCGCATTTCCGCCACTTTGGCAGTGAATGCGCAGACTGCCAAAGGTACGCGCCAACAATGAGCCAGCAGGAGCAAAATGTGTGTTGAAAGTTTTGAAGAAGGGGTGCTAAATTGACTGGCAATAGGACCATGGGATGAGGGATTGATTGGTGAAATTAAAGGGGTTGAAGAAGGAAAGAAAGGCGGTTAGTATCGTTAGTAACGCAAAAAGAGGCCCCAAGACAGGTGGACCAAACTAATTGGGAACGTCATGAAAGGCGGTTGTTATTGCCGGAACGAGGCGGACCAAACTGAGAAAGGGGATATACATATATATATACAATATACAGTTTCTTAATCCTATCTGTACAGTATTTCATGTAATGACATGTTCACCACTGACTCCTTTGCTGAATCATGGAGACCGGAATCTTGTTCATTTTCAATGTCTAGGAGACCAATGTCTAAACTCCAAGCCATTTGTCCGGTTCCTGGAAAAACGCCGCAAAAGTCATTTACGCCGGGCATCGGACATCCTGTTTGAGACTGATTGAAAATACATGGTCGGCATCTGCCATTGCTGTGATCCTCCTGACCTGGAATCACCGCAAACGCAGCGTTTTTCGATCGTCCAAGAACGCGGTCCAAGGGGGTCAGAATTGGATGGAGGTTGGAGAGAATACGAGACATGCCACTGAAATCAGCAAAACTCAGAAATGCGGCGCTCAACTTAATTGAAGCTTTGAATGAACCATGCAGGCTTTCTCTTGGTTTACCCATTGACCCAGAGTTTTGCTGTGAATCCCGTACATGATCAATATGCCTACATCCCAGTACATCCCCACAAATTAATTGCTATATGCATCTGCATGTGTGCATCCAACAGTTTTGGACCCAGTTGTATATTGCATGCCGTGTAAAGCCTGCTGCACCATCTTTGGAGCCAAGTCCGGCCAAGTCCGCTTCGATGGATCCGACAAAAAGGCACTTTACCCGAGCCACATGCCAAGGAACACAAGAAACATTACAAGGGACACAAGAAACGCCAAGTCGAAATGCCCCGGTTGTCGTGTTCCTTTGGACCAAGCCGGGCAGGGTCATTTCACTGGGATTTCGGTTTGACCGATTTCGGTTGGACCGAATCAGATTCCATCAGATTCTCCCCAAGCTGGTCGTGCGGAGCACAGAAGACCTAAACTTTGAGGTGTTTATCCTAGGAGTACCGGACTCTCAGAGTTTATGCCGTCAGGTCACTAGTGGAGGTGTCGCCTGATCCTGCCGTCGTCCACTGGGACCTGGAGTCCGCGGACCCTGATTGGCTCTCTTCAGCACGCGAATCACCCGAGGTTGAAGCTGCGCTACGAGCCACGGGTGGCTGTAATTCTGACTCCAGCGAATTCAGCTGATGGTTGAGCCGTAGCGGGTCCTTGCCCTGGTCCGTTGCCTCTTCCATGGCAAGCACTCGATGGCACTCGAGTGCTAAGCTCAATTTAAATACAAATACCAAGCGATCACGCACTGCTCGTTAAATGCCCGTTCTTGAGCCGAGAAGCCGGGCCAAATCGGATACGCAGGACATCGCAGAACATGCAGGACAGTGGGTAATGAGTGCACAAGCCAACACGAACAAACCAAAGTAGTGGATCCTCTTTACCACTATACCGTACCCACTATACTACCTTGGGTTCTGTTGGGATTCACCTCAGGTGTTTTTGGGTGTTGAAATCCTGTTGAGCTCCCAGGCCCAGTTGAATGATTTGATTATGTTCTTGAAACCAAAGTACTCTCAACAGATCACCTTCAGCGGACTCCTTCGGAGCTGTTCAGCACATGTCCTCGACTCAGGAAGGTTTTTCGACATACTTGAGCCTCATGCCTCATGATTACCAGACTTCACCACAGTTTATGCACTCTTCAATGTTACTTGACCTTTGACTTGAATTTTCACTGCCTTTTGATGAACATGACCACAACAAACCCAACCTCCTAATGTCCCCAAGGTTGGAGTTTGACTAGCAGAAGTCTCTGAAGAAAAAATGATTGGTGGCAGGGAGGGAAACACAGAGTTGAATAAATTGTAAGTTCATAGTTCCATTCTTAGCTCCCATCTTCCTTTCATTTCCTTTCTGAGGCACCCAGAAACACTCGTACGAACCAGAAAATCAAAAACAGCAAGATCGGAACACATCCGATCTGATCCACCATTTCAGTATCCTTTCGAAACATGGATTTAGCTGTCCGGTCTGAAATGAACCTCATGAACCTCTCTCATGGTCTGGAAAACGACGGATCACCCTGATCATCGGATCCATGTCGACCCCACAGCCGCAGTTGCTCACCCACCGCGCACCTCTTCGCCGTCGGGTGGATCGCCGTCGGGAGCCTTCGATTGACCGGAGGAGACGGGGGGTCTCAACCGAACCGAAAGAAGACGAAAAAGCCTTCTTGATACCCAGACACGACTAATGGGACTGCCATATATACCTACATTGGGGTGGTTTTGGGGGTCAATGTATGCATATATGGCAGTCCCATGGAGTGTCTGGGATAGGAAATAGGGGGCGCGATCATTGTCACTGAAATCACCCTAGGGATCCAGGAGCATCCTGAGGATGTCCTTTGGACTCAAGACCATTCTCTACCGAGAAGCAAAACACTAACAATTTGTAGGCTCCTGGACGAAACATCGCGTTTTCAAGGGAAGAGATGGAAAGCATGGTCTTTTCTCGAAAAAGATCGTCTTTTGGTTAAAACATGGTAAAAACATTGTAAAAACCACTGAAGAACCGCCCCGGCGACCACTATCACAAACACCAGTCAACGCCGGATCTGGCTTTCAGCGTGCCGTGGTACCTCAATGGATCCACCAGTCACCTCAATGGATCCACCATTCTTCCGAGTCTTCCATCTGTCTTGGTCATTGAAATAGACCTTTTTTGGTGACAGTTGGAGGGCGACTGGACGAAAAACATAAAGAACACCGTATTTATATGTATTGATCCCGTACGGTACGGATCCCGTACCTAACCCGTACGAACCAATACGGAACCCATATGTTCGATCTGCCCCAAAAACGTTGTGTTTTGAGAACCCAATTTGTGAGTTCTTGGGCTCATAGCTGCATGTTGAAGGCTCACTTTCGATCCGGGTGAAAAGTGTTCTTGGTGAGATCGACATTTGGTGACTTGTGTCCAAAATTCAGGTGCGTGCCGTCAGGTCCAAAACACACATGGCTTGGAACACATCTTTTTAATGTACTACGTTTTCTTGGTATCTTGCTTCCCGAGGTATAGAAGTACTTTCACCTCCAAGACCATCCTCAGGAGGTACCTGGACCCTATGGGTCAAGAAATGGGCGATCACAGAGTCGTGCCGTCGTGCTGGTTCGCTTTTTCAGTTCGTTGTTTTGATCGCCGAGCCTGGAACATACGAGTCTTGTGCCATTTAGACCTCCCAAGTGATCACCAATCAACTAGCCTACACTAGTCTTGTGGATCAAGTACGAATCCAGTACTTCAGCTTCAAAGACCCTCAGGCTTGGAATGGCTTGGATTTGCTAGTTCCCTGGAAACAGAATTGTTTCTCAAGAGCCGACATGCAGCACCCTGGCCGTGTCAGGTGACTTGTGCGTATGAGTATGGTTTCGGTATACGAGCACATGGGTGTATGGTTTCGTATGATCGCAAAAGCCCCACCAACATTTGGGGTGTTGATACGATGCAGAATAGGGGTTCATGAGGGATGAACTTTCAACTATATACACAGCATTCCAAAGAAACCAACTCTTCCTGCCTACGTTCCCGCTGCGTTTGCTGGGCCAGACCGGATGGAAGCGTCTCGGTATGTTTACTCCTCCAGATCCGGACAGTCCGGCTGACCAGGATCTCGTTTTCTGTTCCAAGAAAAAAAATGTCTGAATCTTCATCGTCTGGATCATCCAAATATCAACAACTAAGAGAAGCGTACCAGCGCCACCCAAAGGGTGGTTTATAGAACCCCTGAAGATGTATGTTTCATCCAGTAACCACCCTTGGGTGGTGCTGGTACATAGTGACTTCACCAAGCATGACGACATCCTTCAACACTCTCCTCGCCTCTCCCTCATCGCCCTCCCGGTGCATCCGGCGTCGTTTCTCGGCGACCTCCAGATCCGGAGGGCCGTGGGCCGTTCGTTATGGCCACGTTCCGGCCAAAAACATCTGTAGCAAGTTGTGGCATGGGATCCAACTGGGGAGGGACCTCTATGTGGCGAAAGTGGCCCCAGCATGCATGAGGACAGGAAAGAGAAGGCCTTATTGTGAACTGTAGAAGCACAAACGATTATATATATATATAACCTATAATTATTATATGGATGGATTGATGATAAATCCAGAACCAACAAAATATGTTCCACCAAATTGTCGGTACTCTAGACTAGATCCCATATTTGTTGATTGTGATATTCATTCTGTTGTTTTTGTTTGTGTTCTTTTGTACTGTTTGGTTTTATCTGGGCTGATTGGAAGTTCTGTTGTGAACGTAAATGTCAAGGCATTCATGTATCATCAACTAGTGCGATCCACTATGAACACGAACAACCCGTCTTTGTGTTTAAACAAAACACACACACAACAGGAAAAAACATGAACTGGAAGAAACGAGCTGGAATCCATGATCAAATTCCACGAACAAATGACTTGGATCTTGTACACCTGACCAGAGTTGGATCAGCTCGTTTCTACTTGGTGATATATACATATTATATATAATACTAATATAGTGTTCAGGGTTCTTATTCATTCTCGTTCCTGCACCCAAACTGGGCGCCTTCGCAGGGCGCCCGGTGGCTGAAAACTCATTCGGCGCGAGCGAGTTCGGCGAGAACGTCGGCGCGAGGGCTTCAGGCGCACGCCTCGGAGCCCATGAGGATCGGCTCACACCTGGGGCGGGGCCGGGCGTTTGTGGCGTGTTCGACCGCGTTTTCAACGGCCGAACAAGATCTAGAGAGTCCGGGTTCCAAAGATGGTCGTCTCCAGGTAAGAATGAATGTGTTCTGTGTCCTTTGTTGGTCTGATCCACATGGGACAAACTGATCAGATCAGTTGAGCCCGCAGGTTCAAGTAAGTTGAGAGGTGGGCGGATCATACCCTCGAGCAACATGGGGCCGGCTCCGTGGCGTGTGGGATCAATCGGCTATAGCCCTGTGAGCTGCCCCAGAAGCTTTTTCCAGTCATGGGAATTCTCAGTCCAAGCCATCAACCAAATAGCCTGCCAGACACGCTTGATCAAGCTGTGTCTACCGGCACCTCTCACAAAATAGAAGGTGATTCCAACTGACGAACTTGTTGACCATCAAGGCACCCTTTGGCAGGTGCCACGCATGCGAATTCCTTTTCGATGCCAGCTAGTGCGCATCAGAATCAGAAGTGCTGGATCTCGGATGACACCCAAATTCCGGATCAAAGGCGGGTGGAACAAACATCAACTGACCGGACCGACCAGTGGTTCAAATTTTACTGGATCAAGGAACCCCCAGGACCCCTCCATTCCATAGCTTATGGACCATCCGTGTAGATTCTCTGGGAAATCCCAGATGGGGAATGGAAAATATTGAAACATCACCTGAGACACTGAGACACTGCATCCATGCCGAAACGTGAAGTTTTGAATAGAACAATAGTGTCACAAGAACTCTAATTTTGACACACAATTTTATCCAAAATGGTCCAATGGAATTTAATTTTACGGTTTGCATATAAGGATAATGATTTGATATGTTACATGTTTGTTTCAAAATTACAACTAGTGATTTTGTTTCTTTAATATGTATATATATATATACACACATATGTAGGATTGGTTTCAGGGTTCTCGGCTGATGGGACTAAATTTGTCTGATCTGGGTGCCCTCATCCATAGGAATTTCCTTCCATAGACTAATAGACAAATGTGTTGACTGTCTCCCATTCAATATATATATATATATTGGACATCTATGGACATCGACATGACGTCCACCGTCTCTTTCTACGTGCCTCCATGCACCGCGTTCGTCCACATGCCCAGTCCGCGTCCGCCCAGGATCTCGTGCAAGGTCTTGCAAATGTCGGAAAAGGTCGTCGTAAAGTTGGGCCTGGGTGCCGGAGGCCGGGCTGTTTGACCCGGTTCTGCAGGAGGTTGCTGGGTCCCTGGGTACAGTAGGCTTGGTCCGGCTCATAGGCCTGACATTCCAATCCCATATCATATATCATTGGAGTTTCAAGGGTAGTTGAATTTTTTGGGGTAACGTTGTATGTATACTGTGGTACTTCCTCCAAATTATCCCGGCAAGAGGCCCCAAACAGTGTGTGTGTGTGTGAGGTCTAGAGGTGTAGCAGCAGAAAAGTCTGATCTAGACGCATTGGGGTCGAGTGAGATTGAGAATGAGAGAGTGAGAGTCAGCGAGAGTGAGTGAAAGTGAGAGTGAGAGTG